ATTAAAATAATAATAATAAAAATAAATGTTTGCTACTGTGCGTGTCTTTCTAAAACTGTCTACATGAACTTTACCCATTATAATGTCAAAATACCTTTATTGTATAAAACCTTAAACATATATTGAAGAATGTAGGGGAAAAAATTTGGTTGGATCTTCACCACTGTCTTGTTTAAACTATTGTATTTTTTAATGTGTGGTTGTGTTTGTGCATGTGAGTTTGTGTTTTATGTGTGTATGTATGTGAATGTTTATTAAATAAAAGTGCACCAGGCATACCTTAGGCAACACCCAGATCCTCTTGGCCTTGACTCTTTCTGAGGTCCTTGGCCAGCTCTTTTGCCCTGGATGCCCTTGGGGTGACCAAGCACGTATGGACTCTATTACTGTCACCCAGGCACCACCACCCTGCAGTCCCTTCCCTCCCACCTCTGCTGGGTGCCACTTCCTCCTCTTGGCTTTGGTCTTGAGATGTGAGAGGCCAAGAGACCCAGCTGGTGGCCCCACAGGCAGAATCTAGAAGTGCTGAGGAGTTAACGCACCATGGGGGGGAAACTTCCACCGGTGAGACACAGAGCGGAGGGCTGGTGTCTTCTCCTCCCTTCCTTCAGACAGACTGTCCTGGGATGCAGCAGGATACAGCATTAGGGGATGAGGCAATCAATTTCAGGTGCACTAGTTACCAAATGACGGCCAGGTTGGAAATACATCTTAGAGTTGACTAAACCTTCTTTCTCTGCCTCACTCCCTTTCACCTCACTCCTGGTTCCTGGGAGTGCACTTTCTGGAAGACTAAGCACATACACGTTAGCCTCAAGCTCTAGGTTCCAGCATATGTCAGTAGAGCAGACAGTCCGGATGCTCTGCCAGTTTTCTCTTCAGCCTTTACCGCAATAGTTCAGCCCGGACAGATGCCCTGGACAGATACTCCACTGCATTTCTTTTGTGGAGGGTTGTTGTCATTGTTGTTGCTGGTGGTGGGGGGCTGGGGAGGCAGCCAGAGCCTGTTCTACAACTGTTTGTGGTAAGTCAGAAGTGCCAGAGAATGAATGGCCCCTGGGAGCGTCTCTCAAACCATGGCTGACAAAGTTGCTCTTCCCTTCAATTGTAAAAAAAATGAACAAAGTAAATAAATAAATACATATAAAATAAATAAATACCCCAGATTCCTTGCCTCTTCCAGGGGTAACTCTGAGCCAGGATGCGTTTTACCTGGCTCCAGACTGCCCCGCAGAACGGAGGTGTCCTCAGTAGGAACCTTCACGGCGGTGCAGGCTTCAACGGCTGTGTTCCCTCCCGTCTCATTCCCCTCTCCTGGACCGGTGCCTCCTCTGGCACCCAACGAGCTGCTGGAGCTTGAATTACTGGGCTCTGTGGGAACCCAAGCCATGACAGCCTAAGACATCATTTTAAAAATTATTATAAGTGGATTTTTTCCATTTAATAATATGTGCTGTACATGATGTTAAATATTAAAACTTTTCTAAAATATATGAGTCTCCAGTGCGGTGACATGTACCATGTGGCGTGTAAGTGATGTGCTGGACATTTCCGTCATTCCCAGAGTTTCCATCCAACTCTGTCCAACTCAGGGCTCAACAGGCCCAGACAGGCTGCGTCTCTGGGGTCGGAGTGGCAAATAAATCCACCACAGCTGGGTCATTCCTCACATAATGGGACAGAAATAATCAATGTAGACAATTCTCCCAACTTCTGTTTGGTGGGGTTTTTCTGAAGGTTGTCATATTGCAGGGGTTCTTCAGAGAAAAATAAAAGAAATATTGATTATATTCTACTTTAAAAGGAAGTAAATGGCACCCAAGATTTCATTAGACAAAGTACCATCTCTACCAGTTTTGAAAAGAAATATCAGCCAAAGCACATTACATGGCACTTTGCTACCTGATAGATTTCTTTTTCTTTACTGTGGGACAAATTTGGATTCTCTCTCTCTCTCTCTCTCTCACACACACACACACACACACAGCAGCAGCAGCAGAATAACTTCTAAAGTTTAATTTTAGTCCCATGAATGATTTGGGGCCAGTTCACCAACTTCTGTCATCTCTGGGCTCTTTCCATTTGTTCATTGGGGATAATTGTATCACTCTCCTTACTAGGTGTGATGTCAGAATTATACACAATAATGTCAACGGGTACACACTCATTGCTCAATGAATGGTAGCAATTATTTCACAGTGACTTTATTTTCAGCAGTGAAAGAAGTAGCCCAGAGCAGAGGGTGGAACTTAAAAAGTGTGAAGGAGGTAGGGGGTGGGACATGCAGTCATCTAGTTAGATTTGGGGAACATGAACGGTTCTCTGCTCAAAGACATTTCCTCTACATATTCTTCCTACTCTGATGGAGTTGGTACCAAATTCCTGCATGATACCAGCCCTTCCACATAGCTCAGGGCTTCTCAAAGTGCACCAGGAGCACCAGCAACAACCAGGAACTGGTTAGAAATGCAGATGACCAGGTTCCTCCTTTGGTCTTGGAATTGGGATCTTAATGGGGGCAGTATTCTGTTTTTTTTTTTTAAGCTACTGATGTGCATTCAAGTTGGAAAACCACTGGTCTAGCCCGAGCCTCTAACCTGGCCCGCCCAGCCCCTCATCCCGCAGCCAGCCCTGAGGGCCCTGCCTGATTCTGCTTCCCCCTCTTCTAGCCTTCATCCTGAGGTGATGCTATTCATACTGCCTCAATTATGTACTCCTTTCCAGCTCTGGTTTCGACCCCTCCTTCTCTTTTTCATACGAGTATACTTATCTGGCATGTGATGTGATTCTATTTGTCTCTTGGTCCCTGTGTCTGGTGGCTCCAGACATCTCATCCTTGGGCACTTGAGCCTCAGGGACCTCAGTCTACCTGGAGCCAAATGGGAAGGTAACATTTCTACCAGGTTTTGGGCCCTGCAAGAGGAATGGCCCATTACTAACTCACCTTCCGGGCTCAGTCCTGCCCCAGGTTCTGCAGGAATGGGACTCCAAGTCAGGGGAAATATAAGAACCTGTGAATGTATAGTTCTGCCTCCAGGACTCAGGCATATGTGTGGTTCCTCTTGCTTTAACCACCTCAATTTCCATATCTGAGTGTCAGTCTTGGCTGCTAGCTCAGTGCCCTATCTTCTAGGGCTGGAGTCCTTCCTGTGGACTCTTAGTGGCTGAAGTCATGTTCCTCTCAGCATATTAGTTATCTAGAATCATATCTCAGCATATTAGTTGCTGCATAAAAATTATCCCCAAACTTACTGACTTAAAACAACAATAACCATTTGTTATCTCACACACTTCCTGGGGGGCAGGAATTCAGGAACAGCCTTGTAAGTGGTTGTGGTTCAGGGTCTCTCATGAGGTTGCAGTCAAGGTGTGGATGGATGGAGGCTTCGCAGCCAACAGACCTGCTGCTTTTGAGGAGGCTCATATGCTGGCAAACTAATGCTTGCTGTTGGCAAGGGGTCTCAGCTCTTTGCCGTCTTCACTTCTGCACGGGACTGCTTGAGTATCCTCACGATGGGGCTGCTAGCTCTTCCTACAGTGAGTGCTCCGAGACAGAGTAGAGCATGCTTTAAACGATCTATTCCTCGAGCTCGTAAATCATCACTTCTGTCACATTTTAGTTGCTAGAAGCAAACCCCTAAGGTTCAGGACATACTATAGGGAAGGGGAATTAGGCTGTGCCTTCTGAGGGGAGAAGTGTCAAAAAGTGTGTGGGCATATTTTAAAATCACCACAGTCAGCCTTTGGGACAAATTTTCTGCTACGTATCACCCAATTCTTAAGATGCTTTGTTCTGCTGGCCCATTCTAGAAGATTCTAAATCTTTGTCATTGGCCAGGTGTCCAGTACCACCCAGCAGATGGAGCCCCTCTTCCATTGTTAAAAATCTATTTGTGGTATTCGGTCCAGGTTGGTATTGATAACGATATGATTCAGTAATTTATTGAGTACCGACTGTGCGGCTTGGTAACTGGTGCATTTGGTCCCCCCTGTTTGCCTGTTTCTGACCTGGTGGGTCTGACCTGGTGAGTCTGACCTGGTGAGTCTGACCTGAACACGTCAATTGGAGATCAGCCTGGGTCCACAAGTTCAGGCTTTTTGCACGTCACCCAGGCTCAGCACTGCCACACGAGCGCATGCGGTTAGAACACAGCGCCGAGCTGCTCAGGTGAGAGGGTGACTGGCGGGTGAGGTCAGCCCATGGCCCTGGCCTTGTTGGGACTCATGTGTGCCACCGGCCTGCTGAGCGTTAAGCGCTCTGGGCTCCTGTTCACAGAGGCGTGTGGGCCCGTAGTGTCCTCCTCTGGCGTCTTCCAGTTACACACAACAGAAGCCCAGTTCAAACTGGTTTCAGCCAAACAGTTCAAAATGATTTTTCATTTTTTAAATGAAAAATCTATGTTTTATATTGGTTTCAAATATGGCTGGGTCCAGGACCCCAAGTTATGTTACCAATGATCTGGTTCTCTCCTTTTCTCAGATCCGCTTTTTCCCCCTGTGTTAATATTAATCTCGGGGAAATTATCTCAAAGTGGCTGCAGGTGGACTAAGTTTACCTCCTCCCTTTTTGCCATCCCAGGACAAAAGGAAGTTTTCTGGTGCTTCTAGTCCTGTGGTTAAGTCTCACTGGTTTCTTTGAACTAATCGCGTGGCAATGACCATGGACTCTCTGATCTGACCCTTTCTAGAGCTGGGGAGTTGGTTCTGCCCCATTCAAACCATGCTAAGATTGGGAGGGGGTGGTTATCTAAAAAACAAAAGGGATGTTTTTACCAGAAAATAAGAGGGGAGTAGATCTTGGGTGGATTGAAAACCATTCAGACCTGCTACATCCACTCACTGGGTTCACACTTTGATATGACTAGTTAGCACAGAGTCAAAGTACAGAAAGGGAACTGAGAAAACAATACAGAAAACATGTGGGTTTTACTCATAATGTTGTGGCATTCACAGTTTATCCTCAGGTTACTTACAGGTTCTCTTCTCTGTGAATTGAACAGCGATCACACAGCTCAGCGTGGCCTCTCGGTATCAGCAATAGACCGGCATCCCTTACAGAGCCTCTGGATTTTCTCTTGTTCCCTGTTATTTTCCATCCAGTTGTTGGCCAGGCCTCCTCGAGGTACCCTGCAGCCTGGCTGAAGGAATCCTCACGGGACACTTTGCATGTGTCATTCCTTGATGTCTCCAGCCTTTTCCTTTCTTGTTCTCATGCTGCCTCACTTCTGAGTTTGTTTCGGAGGAGCAGGAGCTGATGTCCACAGGTACGGACTCTTCCGAAGGGAAACCAGAGAGTGTTCTCCTCATACACAGGAGGCAGGTGGACCCACCTGAGTAAGGGCCAGGCAAGAGCTCAGGACTCTGGTGGTCTAAGAAATGCCACTTGGCTGTGCTGCCTCTCGGCACCCAAAGGTGCGATGACAAGGCAGGACAGAGTCACTTGAGTTTATCCTATTTCAGGCCATGGGTCACACTTTGGAGTGACCCATTCTTGGTTCAGGGCTCTAAGCCAGTCAGCTGCATTTTCCCCTTACAGTAAGGAGTAGAGTCACCCCCAACCCCAGAATAACCGATGCTTTTCCAAAGGACATTTCCCGGTTCTTTTGAGAAAGTGTGGGGGCGACTTTTCCCGCAAGTCCCCCCGTCTGCCACAGATGAAAGTAAACACCAAGACATGATCTGCTTGGGGAGGACAGGTGGCCGACCCCTCAAAACGGAAGGGCCTCTAGCCCCTTCCTCCAAGGATTTTTATTGGGTTGTAATACACAGGAATACAGGGCGGCAAGGATCAAAGAGTAGATAACATTTCAAAGAAATCTGAGGGCTTAGTCTGAGTCAGAGTCTGTCAGGAAGGGAGTTTTGCAAAAACTTTAGGGTTTCCCACTTGGACCCTTAACATATGAATGAAAGCACTCTTAGCAGAGTAGGTTTCACAGGTTTTCAGGAATTCTTTGTGATGCCAGATTTTCCCCCCTGGGGATCTACTCTGGAAAGGCAAGGAGCTGCACCCTTCCCCATCAGGTATTCAGGCTTAAGTGCATTAGAGCCAGGAAGTACTTCTCCCAGAGAACCTGGGGACTCGGGCTTTGTCACATAGCTGGGGGCACGGGTCTATTTCTTGCTCTTGGTTGCAGCCCCCTGAGTCCTTCCATGATGACCTCCCAAATGATCATGTCTGGCTTAGGTTGCTCCCCACTGTGAGGAGACTTACCCTTCAACAGCATAGATCAAGCTTTGGGGGCAGGGAGAGGAAACTGAGGCAGCGTTTGCTACCAGAGACAAGCTTTGTCTCCTGTGGCTGGCATCCCGGAGGTCACTCGCTCATCCTCAGCCATGGGGGATAGAGTTACAATTCCTGAAGCCAGGCAGAACAATCCACAATAGAAAAGGGCTCCTTTTTTGCTTGTTCACTTCCTGTAGGTCTTGACCCTGAAAGTATGCAAAGGCTGGAGCTATTTTTGCCAACTAAAAACCGCAAGGAGTTGTCTGTTCTGAGGATGGAGCTGCTGGTAAGGAAGAAATTTCTCTGGGAACGGAGAGGAAAAACCCAAGATCTGCTGACAAGGTTGCAGCTGCTGGGCCCACTTATGCCAGAAGCTGGACACCTCCTGCTCTTTTCAGTCATGATATCCAGAAAACTGCCCGTTCGTCATATTTTCTGTCACCTGCAAACAGACATTCCTTGGGAACGCACCCTGATGCCACGCTGCTCAGGCGCTTGCAGACGCCCAGGAAGGCCGGGTGCTGCTCTTCCTGCCCAAAGCCCAGGTTTCTTACGCATGAAGCCCCGACATCAGAATTCCAGTTCATCCCTCCGCCCTGCTGTGCTGTTTCTCGCTGCATAAATCTATGATAGGAAGACATGCCACCTGATTAGGACACTTGGGAGATCCTTTGTTTTCCCAAAATGTTAGCAAAAGTGCACTGTGTCTTAATATTGCTTACTCTTGCTTTTACTGCCTTAAAAAAAATCTTTTCCTCTGCAAAATAAAATTTCTTTTTTTAAAAGACCAATTATCTACATTCACTTTAAAAATATATATATTTATTTATTTTTAAAGAAAGGGAGGGGGAGACAGAGAGAAGGGGAGAAACACTGACCAGTTGCCTCCTGCAGGCCCTCAACTGGGGACCTGGACCGCAACCCAGGCAAGTGCCCTGACTGGGAATCAAACCAGCCACCTTTTAGTTGGCGGGAGAACGCCCAGCTCACTGAGCCACACCAGTCAGGGCCATCTTCACTTTTTAAGGTGTAAACAACTGGACTAAAATATCCCTCTGTGGTGGGAGGTGGGAGGATTCAGGGCCAGACTGGCTCTCTCTCCCCAGTTCTCTCACTCTTCTTCCCCTACCTTCCTAATTGGGGTTTCCAGTACTGTAAAGAAATGCAGTTATTCAGAAAACTCCAACACCAGTGAGGTGTTAACTTGATTTTGTGTTAAATCTAAGTTTATCCCCAACAGCATTATTCTGAGGAAATATTCCATGGACTTGTATGAGTGAAGTAGATTTACTGTGGAGGAAATTAACCATATCATACAGACACTAGGAAAGAAAAGGGGCTGCAAATGTACTGGGAAGGGAGAGAAAGGACAGGAAGGGTGAGCAGATGAGAGAAGAAGGTGACATGAACTGAGATAAAACTGTGCTTGGGTCAGCCTTTGAGGGTGGTGTCAAGCTTTGGTCAGATAATAGAATATTGGTAGGGTGGTCAGATTTAGCAAAAATGAAAGCAAACAAAGGATACTCAGTTGAATTTAAATTTTCGATATATAATTAATACTTTTAATACTTTCGATATATAATTAATACTGCACGGCAATCCTTCAGTGTAAGAGTTTGGGGATTTTCCTTTTCTAGGGCTGCTGGGTTATGCTGCTGGCGTTCTGCAACCTGCCGATGAAACGGACTCCAGCACGTGTCCTGAGATCAGAACCACGGAGAAGTTTTACTCTACGTTCCTGAAACTTCTGGACTCTTCCTTGTTTCAACGGATGCCTTTTAGTGGACTGAAACGCTCACATATTCCGAGTAGCATGACTCTATTTCTTAAAAAAAAACTATTTTTATTATGAAAATTTTTGTAATACGCACAAAAGTGGCATGATAATGAACTTCCATCTCCCCGTTTGAAGAGCTGTCAGCATTTTGCCGATATCGTTTCATCTCTCCTCCTCTACCCTTTCTATTCTGCAGGAGGGTTTTAAAGAAAATCCCAAACCTCACATCATTCTTAGATGCGACATTTCTTCCTCAAATGTTATATTTTCTTTCTTGTCCCTAAGCATATCTATCTACTGAATTTTCCCAAGATCCTACTTTTTACCCTTAAATAGCAAATATAAAACAATGCTCTCTCCATTCAAGAGATAATATTCTTTTGTTTCCTTCCTTGGAGCATCCCTGGAGTCCGTGATTTCTCCTCACTCTGGTAGCCTGTTCAGGCCTCATGGAATTTGTCGTGCTTTGTGTTGAGGGGTCCGTGGTGGGAGGACGGATGGAGGGTGGGGATGAGGGAGTGGGGAGTGAGGGTGGGGGTGAGGGTTGTCATATTTTGGCTTTCTCTGCAACTTCCTCCCTATGAGAAATACTAATCTTGTCTCTCTATACTCCCAACTTTCTGCATTATGCAAGTGTATACTTTTTAGGGTAAATATTGGATCCTCTGATTTAACACTTAAAATTCCTAGGAGTAGGTTTGAAGATGCTGAGAACAGCATGATAGAAGATAATGGTCCTCAAATGTTGGTGTGCATGGAATCCCCTGGAAGGCTCCTTAGGACACAGATCCTGGCCCTCGCCCCCGAGTTCCTCACTCCGTTGGTCTGAGACGGGGTGTGAGAATTTGCATTTCTACACTTTCTCAGGGGGTGAGCTGCCGGTTGTCCGGGGGGCACACCGCGAGAACCTTTGGTACAGTAAAATCTTTTCGGTCTATAAACCTGAAGAAGAACCCTTATTCTGTGGCCTTGGGCACCTTACTTACCCTTTCAGATTTAGTGTCCTCATCTGTGACCAACAAATGTTCATTCCTCCTGGTTTTCTAACAATGACTGCTGCTTCAATGAGCAAGAGCTCACCGTTCCTTCAAGCTGCTTTGTCGGTGGCTCATGGGAAGTGGTTTCACCTGTATTCACGTCTCAGAACCCAGCAGCACGATGGCTGAGCTCTGAGTAAACAAGAACGAAGGTCGAACACAGAAGACTGGACTCCAGCTCCTGAAGACAGGGAATGAGGACGAGATAGGCATGGTTCATTCGTTCAGCAAATATCTTTTGAGCATCTACTATGTGCCAGGCACTGTTTCAGCTGCTAGAACTACAGTTACATTGAATCATTGTCCTTATGGCATTTGCATTGTAGTGGGATAAATAAAAAGGAAACAATCTTGATGGGGCCTTAATAAAATAGAAAAAATACTGTGGCGGGTCAGTGAAATAATGTTTTATATTACCCTCTCCCAGTTGTGAAGGCCGGAAGTTCAAAGTCAGTTCCATTGGGTTAAAGGCAAGGTGTTAGCAGGGCCACAGTCTCTTCGGTGGCTCAAGCAGAGAGCCCGTCTCCTTGTCTTTTCCAGCTTCCAGGGCTCGACTCACGGTGTCTTCCTCCATCTTCATAGCCACTGGTGCAGTGTCTTGAAATCTTTCTCCCATCACCTCACCTTCTCCTCCTATTGAATCAATAGCTGAAGTGAGTCTGGAGGCAGTGAAGCATCTAAAAGGTGATCTAGGAGCAGCGGGAACAAAGTCTGAAATCCATGACTGCACTCTGCTGCCGCTGGGCCGTGAGTCGTGTGCTCATGCAGCAGAAATAAATGTGTGTTGGAAGGTTTCCACATGCCAGGTGCGTTGTGGGCATCCGTCCTTTAATTCTCACAATAACCCTTTAAGGGACGGGGTACTGCTTTACCTGTGGGAAAAAAACTAAGGCTCAAAGTGCAACTTACCTCAAACCATGTGGCTCGTAAGTGGGAACCCTGGGATTATAAGTGTGAAAATTCAACTTAGTAAACTTGAAGATTGTTAGCTTCATTATGAATTCAGAAAGTGAGCAGCATCACACCTTTTGGGACGAGGGAATGGCAAGGGTGTTCATCCTGCAGATGCCTTTTTTCGGTGGGGTGATGGAGGGGACCCCCGTGACAGATTACCTCATTGGTGTCGACCAGAAAATTCCACACTGGTGGATTACCGTTATGTTTCTGGGAGAGGCAGACACTGCAGTTAGATCAGGTATTAAATCTAGGTTTTATGTCATGGGCTTTTAGCACAGGTGACACCATTTGGGCCTGCCCTTTTCTCTTTAACCCAAGGCAGACGGCCTCCCTCCAGAGCAGAACCCCGGAGGAAAAGCCTGGCCGCGCAGCCTTGGCTTAGCAGCATTGGAATCACCCAGGAACTCATTAAAAATGCAGATTCTGAGGCTGCACCCTAGACCTGCTGAATCAAAACCTGCATTTTAGCAAAAGCCCCAGTGATTCCGACCCACGCTGAAGTCAGAGAGGCACAGCCATGGAGCACCCCGCCGGACGTGCAGGGAACCGGCCTCCCAGCGCCTGTGGAAGCTGGCGGGCGGGGAGAGCTTTCCCGCTGGTGTTTGCTCTAACAATATGAGGGAGCCCAGTCAATCCGAAGCCTTCATGTGAGTAAGCAAACAACAAATTCAAAAAATGCTCTCCAAGTTTTTTCTCCGCGCCTAAGGAAGGGCACATCTAGTGCACTCTGATAGCTGTTATTTGTCTCCTGGGTGCTTGGACATTTGCTGACTTGGTCATTTACCATCTCCGTGAGCTGCAGGGTCCAGGGAGATAAATTATGGAAGAGAGTTATTAAGTTACAAGACGCTCTCTTGCATCAGGTGCTGGTGGTAGGCATATTTTGGCCTCTGTAATCATCATGGAGCAAGTAGAGAAACATGATGATTGTGCTTCTGAAAGGTGCTTATTCACTAAAGCCTGTTTTTACCCCAGGTGCTTGTTAGGCTGGTTCTGTTTCCAAACCCTTAGCATATGCGGTTTTGCCTGGAGCAAGGAATAGAATCGAGAGAAATAGAAGGTGGCCAGTGGATTCGTGTTTCTCGTGGACCATTTGCAGTAGAATTGCTTGGTGCTGGTTAGAAATAGAGAACTTTAGGGTCCACCTGGAAAATTAGAGCCTCTGAGGGTGATATTCATGCATTTTGATTTTTAACAAGCTTACCAAGGCAATTCTTACATAAACTAATCTTTGTGAATCACCATTGTACAGTATCTGTTATTGTATGGGTGAGGAATCAGAAAAACACGACGGTATGATGACTTACTTAAAATTTCAGCATCCCATGTATAGTAACATTTCCAATAAAAATATATATATGAAAAAATGTCTAGTATAGATGGTTGTTTTTTTAGGAGAGTCTTTTAGACGACTACTATCTAATAAAGGCAGGGCTAGCTGAGTGTGAGTGGCTGAATGTGAGAGTAAGGAAATTAAATGTTAAAGAAACAGCAGTTTAACTTTAAAAAAGATCTCTCAGGTGGTCGGCCAGATGTGCCAAATCCACAGAATTTTACGATAATTTGAAGAGTTAGGGCAATTGGCTGAGTTCCTTGAATGAGCTGACACAATGCCACAAATTGCCAGCAGGGGACAGCAGAGAGCTGCTGAACAGATGGGGCCAGGTGAACCAAGGTTACCAGGTTGGGGGATTTGTTAGAACAGCAGCCAAGAGCTGGCTACCTCAAGAGCCTCTGCCAAGGACACATCTAGCCCTAAAGGAGGAGAGCTGGGTCTGAAGCAGAGGCAGTTATTTCTCATGCCCAGACTAGTGGGTGAAAGAGAAGCTGAGGTCAGAAACGCAAGCTGGGTGAGTCAGAAGCAGGATAAGCAGTGGGTGGCTGTGTCACAGTGAGATCGATAGTGGGACTTCAGGGAGCTAATGGGCTATAAGGGAACACCAGCTTCTTCTGAGGCAATCATTCTGATTTACAGCATCTTACGA